CGGAAGATATATTTGTTGCAGTAGATGTTCAGCACAGCGTTCACACACGTGATCTGGTGCGGATGCATGACCGAGCACCTTCAGCTAGGTGAGTCTATTAAAACATATGGTCAGCATCCAATGTCGAAAACTTACAAAGCTTGTGGAGATATGACTGACAAGCTTATTTTGTAAATAGTTTTCAATGTTATTTCTATTTGTTTTGTCAATTTTTCACTGTATGTACATTTATCATTAAATGACTGTACGTGTTGTTTTAGTCAACGACCTTGAACACTTTTTCCGTTGTAATTCGAACATAGCGTGACACACATTTTCGGTTGTTCACAAATACACTACTACGCACATACCCATTGTTCTATTGTCGCTCGTTACCAAGTCAATTGCGTTCTAAACTGGATATTATCCTCATTTCAGACTGCAGTGTCATTCCCATTATATCCTACGTCAAAGAAACTTATTGGCGTCATATGTACCTCTGTGGAATTATTACGCATTTATAATTGTGGATTTTTGAGACCAAAACTCAACAGAACACGCAACGACTAGCCGATTTAAGTAACGTCCCTAATTTGTTATTGTATTTGTAACATTTAACTTGTAAATATTAATATTACTATTGATTGTTATTAGCTTTGTTGATACTTTTGCGTTTATATATTGTTTGGTCCACCACAAGCTATTTATTTTGGGGATTTATTTACCGCTACAGCACGAACGAACGTATTGTACTTGGGATTCGAAGACAAGCAGCCATCAAGTACAAAGGAATCATTAGGTCATACAAACACCACAGATTGTCTCAGGTTTTTTTCTGAACACGGAGAAATATTCTTGCTGTCCCTTACACCTGATACCAAGTGTTTGTTCGAGGTTAGAAAAATTGTCAGCAATAACAAGTGTGAATTGAACTAACATTCGATGAGCAGTCTGACAGAACCAAACATTTTCTTTTATATTAATTACTTTTTACCAGCATGTATGAGAACACTTAATTGTTGCAAGTTAAAAAGTTGATTAACTATGGGATTCCCATATTAGAAGCTGAAGTTGAATATTGATTTACTGCAAAAATCGGAAATTCAAGCACTTGTGAATTATCTATGTTTTTATTTATTTGTTTTTAGTTAGATGTACTGAATAATATTTTTCGTAAGTCAAATATATGACGCGAGAGTCTGAAACTTACGTTCACATCAGTTACTTCATTATATACTCGTCCAAAGTAGACAGAACAAACATTTTCGAAATCTGTAAACGACTTTTTTGGACATCATTATTTCTTGGAGTGATGATAAGCCACGAACACACAGTGCTTCTCTGATTTATTTATTGGCACTAACATTCAAGTTTTTTCTGAGCGAGTTCATATCCGACAAGTAGTTGAACTGGCTTTCACCTGGCTGCTTTCCGCATCACCGGTTTAACTCCCTTTGTTGTTATGATTTAGAAATACAGCACAAACGGATGTGATAAACATTAGCTACACATTTTTGTTCACAGACATCATCTAACATGATTGACCAGAGTGATTTGACTGGTCGCTTTGAGAAATGATACGTTTGTGTAGCATCATTGTCTCACATGCTAATATCTTGTCGATGAATGATTCATCGCATTTTCCACCTATAATCAAGCCACTGCGATCAGTCTTCTAAAGACAAATGCGTCTAGTCAGCTTGATGAATAATTCATCCAATGGTAAGTGATTATTTGACTCTACAATACCATATGCGAAACCCCTATCGTCAACTCTAGAAAATAAAAGACGTCAATCGAAACTTCAACACGAACATAATGTAGGCACAAAGCCTTGTTATCTTTGACTACAATACGTCTTTTAAATTCAGAGAACCCCTTATTTGGCACGTTACTCTCTATTTTGAGATGAAAGCTCCAAATATAATGGTCTTGAAATGATTCGAGTAGGTCAGGCTGGAACAACACTGTTCCAAAACCCTACAAAAAATCGTCTGAATCAACGTTGACTAAGTTGGAAGACATATTTGGTTTACCTGCGAAGGTATCGCGAAGTGCGACTTCAAACCATCATGTTTGAGTAATGGACGCATTCTTTAGCAAGCTGGAGCAACCTGGTAGATACCTGACTGACCGTCTTCACCTAATAGTGTCCAGGAAAAGTAACATGACCGACTTCTCTGTCGAATGTTTTCTGTTATTTATTACGACAAGCTATTTCTTAGTGAAGAATATCGATCTCGGACTTTCGAGCTGAGATTTAAGTTCAGATTTGGGAAAGAGCTTGTTAACGTAAAATCATTTCAAATACTCATATGTTTTGCCTTCTAGGGGATATGCTTTAGGTATTACTCATTTTGAAGACATAAAATAAGTAACTCCAGGACCATTCGTCTTTATAAAATAAGATTCTACCTATGGATCCTAATGTATTTATGTTCAGTTTATTCCCACCTCAATGAATATAGCCATGACTCATAATACAACGGACAGCTTACAATTATTTCTTCTCTACACATATATAGAGCTAATCACGTGATATCAGGATTTGCGGCCCAAAATGGAGAACCAGATTAACACCAAAGAATACTTTAGTGGATACAATTACACGCACGCACTCACAATGAGTCCAGAGTAGAAATCAATGATAAAAATGGAAATTCACACATTTAATAGTCCATAAGCTGCGGCTTTTTGTGCACGCTCAACGGCAAATCATACTTTACTTTCATTACAACACAACTAGTAAGAGTATAAGCAGTAATTGGAAAGATTAGGGTTTGAAGATGTTATTCAGTCAGTATAATCTAGCGAAATAAATTTGGAAAGAGAAAAGAGACAGGGAGAAGTCAGAAGATTAGAATTTGGGAGAACAAAAAGAGTGGATGCACTTGCACCCATTGGAAACGATTTTGAGCCATGTCATCCAGGGTCTCTAACCATCGGTCGCCATCATCTCGCGGTCCCCAACTAGGTAGTCTACACGTACCAACATGGCTCAGTCCAATTGTTAGTGACTTCATGGATTTGTACCATATTTTGGTCTGGCCGCCCCTAGCTTTCTTCCAACCTACTCCTATACCATTGAACATCGCACATCGAGGCAGTCGGTCTTTGGGCATACGTAACATGTGTCCCAGCCATCTCAACTGATGAAGTTTCACCACTTCATCAATCGATTTGCCATCCTTACCTAGTACCCGTTTCCTAACAACTGTGCTACTTACTCGATGGTCCCATGACGTACGAGCAATGTTTCGAAGACACCTATGATCGAACACCAGTAACCTACGAATATCCCCTTCTCTTAACGGCCATGTTTCACTGCCATAAAGTAGGACGGAACGAACTGCTGCGCAGTAAACACGTCCTTTGGTTGATAGACGGACCGAAGTGTGGCGGCTGAAGGCCAGTTCAACCGATCCCTAAAGTGTTCTGCCCATCGATCCACTATCCTGGATTGAGAATGTATAATATGTCCATCTTTCTCTGAGATTGATTCGCTAACAGTCGGGTTCCTAATACCGGTTTCCTTAACAAGTCTGAACAATTGTCTGCTATTAGCTATTACCGCCGCCTTTTCCATCTCCCTTGCTTTCGCTACCCTCCACTGCTGAGATCATTGCGTAGGCTTCTTATCAGCTTGAGCATTAAAGTCACCAGCAGCTATCACTACATCAGAACGCCTAGCTTTTCGGAGAAGGTCGGAAAGCTTTCCGTAAAATTCATCTTTAATACTATCTGAGCTGCAGTCAGTGAGAGAATTGACAGAGACCACGAAGAGGCAACGACGAGTGTCCCTATCTTTCCGAGTCCTTACTGTTCCGTTTAGTCGGATAGCGCACAAACGACTGTCTACTGGTAACCAGTCTAAGAGAGCTAGTTCTGCCCTAGGACTCAATGCTATACCTACGCCGGCGAGGCCACAAGAAGCAGCATCTGGGCTTCGAGATACACGAATTGTGAGTCGAGTTGGTTCTTTATTTTGACATGGTGAGGTCAAATGAATGACGCTACTCGGATCCTGTATCCGCGTTTTGGAAACGCAGCACACATCGATGGCGCAAGATTCTAGAGTCCTAGCTAAGGAAGCCTGTTGTCCTATTTGGCTCAGTGTTCGGACGTTAAGAGCTCCTACATGTAGTTTAGAGCGTGGTTTCAGGATACCAGGAATAACGTTCCGCGTACTCGAATCGTTTGCACTAGCGGTGCGAGGTAATAAAGAGACCTGAGGAGGGTTAGTCATGGAGATAAGAGAGGTATTAGGAGGTGTAGGAAGGATTTGAATGTGACCAACTTGGTCTCTTGTGCTGTTACGGGTATGAGGGCTAATGTCACTTCCCGGCTGCCCACTCTATGGAAGGGTATTTCTTAAGGAACCTGAAAAGGAAGTGGGATTAATATCGGTCTTAACGACCTGGGGGCGTGACCGCAGAGCCCAAGGGACAGCTGTTTGAGGCCGGTCGCGCACAGCCTTTCGATGGGAGGTTTTTAATGTGTTAGCTCCGTTCTTCAAAGGGCCTTACCACCGGAGAGGTGACATTTTTACGGTCGACCTTTTGTGACCCCTTTCTTCCTTGTGAGAAGGCAGCATCGCTGCAGATGCTGGTTGCCCGAGGGAAACACTATTGCTGTCACACCCCTCTACAGTCAGCAGTACGACTTCGCCCTCAGACCTTGAGTTGCTGCTTTTAGTCTTACCGTTCTCCAATCGACCTGCCTGGTATGGTAGAACCTGCAGGAACATATGTTCCAGCCAATATAGGTCGGTTGGGTCATCAAGATAGGTAAGCCCGACCACCACGTCAAGGTAGTAGCTGCGGTCAGGCGTGCATTGATTACAGTGTAAAAGTTAAAGTTTAATTATGAATCATAAGTTTATTGGCACAACTATAAAACAAAAAAATACAAGGAAGGAAAACCATTGAAAAATTTCCTTTTGTTCGAGAGATGACGAGAATTCAGTGGATTCAAACCGGTGAATACATACCCAACTTTGTATTGAAGTAAAGTCTAGACAAGCGATGCTCTGTCATAATAGCTCTATGAAAAGCATAAATGAAGAGGATAAATAAGAGTCAGTTTAACACTGGTTATAAAATGATAATTAATTTAGCATAAAAAATTAATAATAGTAAATTAGCAAAGCATTTCTCGGCTTGTTTTGCTTCTTAACAAATCAGGGTGTTAAAAAATGTCTACAGGATGAAATAAATGTAAAGGGGGAAACGAAGATTGAATCTGACTGTAACGATGAAACTGAACTGGAATGGTGTGGTTCACGTAACTGGATATTGTTTGGTGTCATCTAATACAGATCACAAGTCAAAAGACAATTAGAGGAGTGTAATATTTGTTGTAACTGACTGGAATGGTTTATATTTTTTAACTAAATCTCTAATAAGAATTCGTACTAAATTTATTAATAGATTATTTGACTTTTAGGCTGGTATTAATCACACAACAATTTGTAAAGACGAAATACCAAACAGCTATTCTGTCTAGCTATATGCACTCATGAAACCCTTTTGTAACTGAAGTAAGCAGCATTTTTAACGTCATTTTACTCTGAATCACAATGTTGAACCAGATTTTCTCCTGATAAACATCAATAATAGACTTCGACAAAAAATGTTATGTGATTATTGTATGGTTTCTATACACTTGCATATCAGAATTTTTAATAAAAGTCATTCAATCTATTGATTTCGTAAATGTATGTGTAAAACGTTAGATAAAAATTCCCAACTGGCGAAGACTGGAAGTAGATGAAGCAGATAGTAAACGCATGTTAGCATTAACTGAGTCGTTTTTATAGAAGTGACATATATGGTTTCAAGTTCAACAACCTTAGTTTATAAATTATTCCAATAAAAGGCTACAAAATCATCTCATCTACATACCGTATACAGCTACGATTGTTGTCAACCACTTCACATTATCTATGCTGAATATGTTGTCTCTAATTTTAAATAAAAAAATTAAACGACAGTAATGCAGTTATGCGTACCGATTTTCTCTCCATGATATAAAGTCATTAATAAAAAATAGCAAAATGCACCAGATAAAACCAAATGCCGATATGGATGGAGATAAAATGTGCCAACTTGTTAATCTTAAAGAAGAATTAACGACGCACAAGCGAATGATCATATAAACCGAATGAAGAATGCATCTGAAGGAAAAAAACAACAAGAAAAACACACTTGTATTAAAACATAAAGCCTTTTAACTAAGTTCGACAAATAAAATGAAGAACGAATAAAACATGTATGCAATCCAAACACATGTTAAAGATGAGTAGTTTTTTTTATCATATTCTAGAATTTCCGTAATATAATTAATGTGAAAATAGTGCGACATAAGAAGTATTTGTGATGCTACTTTGTTGAAGGCTTTCGAAAGAAGTCTGTAAACCATATAGATCGAATCGACTAAACAGCACAGTTGTAACGAGAAATAGATCCAGTGCTTGCAGCCGATCACGTCGTCGATAAACATAAAAACCTAGTGCGGACGATGAGGTGTCACTTAAACTACTAGTGACATTGCAGCTTATCGATAGAACCAAGGGTTAGAAATGAGCATGAGAATGTTTATTACTCAGCGACCATCCAGGACGAAAGAAGAGATGTGTTTATTTCTATTGTTTTTATGGTGTGAAAGGATTTTTTACAAATAGATAAAAAAGACAGAGATTTGGCTAAATAACAATGTTAACATACTATAAAATAAGTAAGGCTCTTAATATAAGCAGGAAACTTAATAAATATGCTTTATTATATTTAAAAATTGCTAGAATTTTTATGAACTAGTTATTTTTATTACCAGAATCTGAGCCAATTAGAAAAAAATTAGTCTTTATGCTTACATAATTTCAATATGCTTATACAGACAAGATAAGAAGTTAAAGTACAGTGGAGGTTTCACATAAGACTATAAAGGAACTGGTAAATGAACTGTTTACATTTATGATATTTAACTACTGAGAATTAACTTTCGATTAAGTTTTAAGGCTTCATTGTTTGACCTCATTATCTTCAAGTTACCTGATTGTCATCTTTTGGATCGAAAAACACAAACGACGTTTGTTTGTTGTGTATAGTTATAATACAAAGGAAATGTACTATAACTAACGGCCGAGAAGTGCGATATATAAATAGTTTGAGTTCTCCATCATGATAAAACTACAATCAGTGTGTATGATAACCAAAGAATTAACTGGTTACCACCAAATCTGTGTTCAAATGAACAGACAAAATAATAGCTAATATATGAACGAATATCATTGTCCGCTAGGTTAAAGAATTTCCACAACTTTAGAAGCATAAACATAGTTACGATTCAACATTTTTGGGTTCAGGGTAACAGAATGGGAAAACTGGGTAAAAAAGATATTGGATCAAAAGTCTTTTGCCTGGAAGTCCTCCCAGTACTCAAAAACGTTGAAAAAAGATGCAAAAAATGAACAGAAAGAGTCATTTAATAATAAGTAACCCACATTAGACTAGAGACAATGCACCAAGAAGGATTTGTAGAATACCGGAATTTCCATACTCTTTGACCATAATTTGCATAAGAAAATGATATAACAACTGGAAACAAATAAAAAAGCGAATTAAGCAAATGGCTTTTTACAATGACTAGATGTAATTAATAAGCAAAGAATAGTGAGAGGAATGAATTGAGGACTACCTCATTGATTCAGAACGTAATATACATTTTCTATATTACTAAAATCAACCAACCATGTGTAATTTAGGTGGTTAGAAATAAACTACATATGACATTTACATTAAGGTGCGTTAATATTACATAACCTGGTAGCTCAGTGATAGACAAAGTGGTCTTTTTATCTCCAAACTGCATAGATGTATCTTACAAATACTGTAAGCACCATGTCTAACTACAGTGTTGAACAATGAGTGAAGCAGCATGGATAGGCTCAAGTCGTTATCATTATTATATTATTAGTACATTAAGGTAATGAGTATCAACTATTGATAGGTGAGTTAAGGAATGCTCTTTACTCGTTTTAAATTAATGAAGAACATAGACTAGTGCTTATGTGAAATATAAGACTTGGGTCACGTTTCCTACAAATGTGCAATATATATTTTATTAAACACTAACAACTATGCTACATGTTTCGATAAACGGATTTCAATCAGTAACACACTAACTGACTCGTGAATTCAAAATATAAATAACCTTTTAACTGAGTTTGCACGCATACAAATTATTATGATGGCTAAAATGACCAAAAGACGACTACTAGGATTGTTCAAGTGACCAAGCAGATGTTTTTCTGACAGACACAACCATTAAATTCCATTTAAATAGACATCACAAAACAGAAACGACTAATCAACGGGTTGAATTTGTTAGAGAATGTAACTTAAATACAGCATATTCACCAGAGATAATATGACTATGACTTAGCAAAAGATAACCACTAATTAAAAATGATCATAAAGTAATCAATGAGACTATACTTTTACCCATAGTATCACACATACGCATTTTTGAAGATCAGTAGTGAATTAAAGAAAAAATCGTACTTAAAACCAGAGTATATAGGTTAAACATCTTTCATAATAGCTGTCTATGACAATATTGTCTACAAAATATTCATGTGCTACATTGCAGCTATTTACGATGACATAATTAGTAACAATGGTAATAATAATAACAATACGATGCATATACATATTATTAGAAAAAATATCATAAAATTAAAAAACAACTAAATCCACTTCACATACTTAGGTACATGATTAGCTGATAGAAGATTAAATCCTTTAAACTGTATATTAGTATAGACAATTTAGATAGACATGATTCTTGAAGGGCATAAGATGATCTGAGAAAAGGATAAAAAATATATATATAACTAGTCAGTGATGTTCTTTTCTTAATGAACTGACCTAGTATTACTTGAAATTGATTATTGTTCAGGATTTTACAGTTTAAATTTATTTGATAATCATATCAACATTAAATTTTCGTTAAACATCTTCAAGGGAAAAATTACTACTTTTTAAGAAGAAAGCAGGAAATTGGGGTTGTGAGAGAGAGAGAGAACAGCTTGATATTAGTTAGAGTACTGAATTCAATGAGCATGGCCATACAGCACAAAAAAGATAAGCTTCTGCAAACAACTTAAAATAGTAATTACTTTTTTGTTTTTAATTGCTGAAGTTATACTATATTGACAAGCATATAGGGTTTCACAGAGAAACTTTTCAGCAATTGTATAAACTTTAGAAAGTAGTACCAATTATCAGTTGTTCAATATAAATCTTGAACAGGCTACCTTTATTGAAAAGTTAAAAAGTATTTTAATTGATCAAGAATCTATTGTGCCGCCATAAAGTAGAAACAATACTCTGTGAATGTGAGGACAAGTCGTATGCTTAGTTCGTCCGATAAAATTATGTTGGTTACACAATTAAGCGAAAACTGGTTCCTTTTTGATTGCTCGGGGTTAACTCTCATGAGAACCAAGTTACTAGTGATCCATTGAATAGGGGACAACTCAGAGATAAAAAATGTATGGACATATTTAGATATGATTATCAGGTTATTGGGCAACGATATTTTGTTAACTCACCGATTTGTACAAATGCACATAAGACGAATGCTATGTTAATTTTTTTTAAATAAACTATTTATGACATTATAAAAGACCTAGAAAAAGGTTTATCTGTTCTCATAAGTTCCTCTTCGTGGAACATACTTATATTTAGGATTGAAACATCGATTATAAACATTTTGCAAATCATGCTAAAATATTATCGACATCTAGAGCTGATTGAATGTTAGAAGTTAATTTTTGATTCAATTAATATTTATGTTAAATTAATAAAGTGAGACCAAAAAAAATTAAAGTCATCCTACGATTATCACAGTTTCGATAACAGTTTAATTCTAGTGATTTGTTTTTATGGGACTGTACGTGTAGTTGAGAAAGTGTCTTGTATGAGGAAAGAATTAAATACATGAAACTGTTTGGTAACTACATATTGAATAGTTTTAGAACGTTCGGTTACAAGTTTAGAATCGTTCATTTTCTGACCAGCTCTAATGGATGATCAGTTTAACTGAAATAAACAAGCATGAAATGGTGTAACATATTTAAAAAATAATGATAATAGATCGAACAATATAAAATACATAATTTCAACTTACGATAGTGTTTTAGCATATGCCTTGGAATCGTTAATTAGGGGATTTGTTCCATTAAACTTATTTGTATAAATACTGTGAAATGATTGGTGACAATCTTCAAGCTGTTGAGCCCATAAAAGATGACCAATTTCGCAAAATAGACAAATTAACAGTGACGGTATGAAACGAGAACAAGTCACTAAAGTAAAGCGTAAGCATCTCTAAATTTACAAAACACGCAAACAGATGAAAAAAATTCATGTATCAATAAAAGAAACAGATTAAGAGAAATAATTGGAAAAATACACGAGAATTAATAACTGAACAGGTTAGTACTGGGATGTTTGCCAAATCAAATCTACTTGATGATATAAACTATGTGGTACCTTATGGATAGAATGACAATTGATGTCTAGTTTAAATTAATGATATGTCTTTGCATATGGTGTCTCTGTCAGTTACTAACCAAATAAATAAAAACATTCTGTTGTGTTAGCCTGAATAGATATAAATTTCCATATACTGACTTATTTAAAAGAACTTTTAGTCAGAATGCAGCATATAAGACTTAATATAGCCTTAATATTTCTAAAGTAAAGAAAATTTGCGAACGTTTTAAATTGATAAATAAGAACTTTCGTCTAAATTTGAACGAATAGTTTCACAATATTTGGGCGCCGAGTTAATTTGAGATTTTACAAATGTATTCTTCTTTTTAATGTTTTGAATTAATGCCTGAAAAATGTCAAAAATACAATATACAGAATTGTGTAGGCAGTTTGAATAGACTTGAGACTTCTTTTTATCGACGTGATTACTAGCTACCAACAAAGATGCAAGAGTATTGTGAATAGAGGCAAATGAAAATGTAGACGTAATGAGTGAGTGAAATTTGAAGATAGTTAATAGTAAAATTATGAAGATTTAAGCGTTGCAATCATATGTACTAAATAATATGATATATCTGAAGCTTATTTCAAAGACAAAATTAATTGAAAATAACTCTCTCTCCCGACCGTTGTTGCTACATTGACGTGGTGGTCGGGCTTGCCTATCGTGATGAAGCAACCGAGCTATACTGGCTGAAACAACCGTTCCTCAAGGTCCTACCATGTCAGACAGGTCGGTTGAAGAGCGGTAAGACTAAAAGCAACAAACCCAAGGTCCGAAGGCGAAGTCGTACTGCTGACTGTATAGAGGTGTGACAGTAGTAAGGTGTTTCCTTCAGACAAACAGCATGACAGCGATGCTGCCTTCCCACAAGGAGGAGTGGGGTTAGAAAAGGTCGACCCTAAAAATGCACACCTCGCCTTATCCCACGGATATCCGTCTCCGGCGATAAGGTCTCAACAAGTACGGCGCTAACACAAAAATTACCTATATAAAGGTCGTGTGTGACCGACCTCAAGCAGTTGTCCCTTGGGCACTGCGGTCACGCTCCCAGGTCCTTAACACCACCTCTAATCCAATTTCGTTTTCAGGTACCTCCAGAAGAACCCTTCCACGGTGTGGGCAACCGGGAAAAGATAACCGCCCTCATACCTCTAACAGTACTCAAGATAACTGTATTGATAATCAAACTCCCTCTTCAATTCTTATCATTACTCCTACATCGACTTCAAACTCTAAACTTCTTTTTCTGGCTTCCCCTTCAAGTGTCACCATAGCCAACGATTCTAGTGCTCAAAACACTGTCCTAGGTCTACTGAAACCTCGCTCCACACTAAACATTGGAGCCTTCAATGTATGCACCCTATGTCAAATCGGTCAGCAGGCTTCCTTGGCTAAAACCCTAGAATCTCGTACCATTGATGTATGCTGTATCTCCGAAACACGCGTACAGGATCCCAGTGTGGTCATTCACTTGACCTCACCTCGGCAACACGGAGAGCCAACGAGATACACCCTCCGTGTATCTGGTGACCCGACGGCCAGCTCTCGTGGACTGGCAGGAGTAGGGATAGCACTAAGCATGAGGGCGGAACAAGCAATGTTAGAACGGATCCCCGTTAACAGTCATTTATGTGCTGTTCGGCTAAACGGCTCCGTAAGAACACACGTCGTTGCCTTTATGTCGTTTCTGCCTACGCTCCCACCGACTGCAGCTCAGATGATGTGAAAGGTGAATTTTACAGAAAGCTAAACGTCCAGACATATTACTCGTAGTAGGTTACTGTAATACCCAGATAGGTAGTTTAAACCAAACAGAAAGGCATTTAGGTGGGTATTTTAGTATTCCGGCACAACGAACAGATAATGGTGAACGTCTGCTACAAATATGCTCAAACAGTCGTTTATTTTTAGCAAACACTAATTTTAAGCATAAGGAGAGACATCGTCTAACATGGTGACCGCCTGCGCCAAACCAAAGATGGACTCAAATACACCATATTGCCATCAGTCACCTTTGACCTAACCACTGCTATGAATCCGGTGTTCATCTTGTTGTGCTGATGCGGTATGGCAATCTGAACCGATGCACATATGTGCCTGGTCCTACGTTGTAGCTGACTGACTTACTGACTGACTGGAGAGGGTCGGTAGAAGATTGTCGCTCATTCTGGAGTACCTGCTTGGACTCCGACCACGCCCTAATACGGGCACGCATCTTCTTACGCCTCACTGGACGCAAAAAAGCCACAATAAAAAGACCCATTAGAACTGAATTGAGTAGCGAGAAAACCAAAAGTAGGTTCCAGGAACAACTGAGGTCACACTTAGGTAGTTCTGAAAACGAGGTTGACCCAGATATTGCTTGGAAAGCTATGCAAACAGCTGTGGAAACAGAAGTGACATCTATCAGTGATTTAAACCACTGGGTTACAAAAAACCAATGGATTTCCTCTAGGTCTATTGCACTGATGGATTCTCGTAAACTCATCCCATCAGGCTCTGAACACGATGAAGAGCGTGTAGAAATCAGATCCAGGTTAACCAAAAGTCTAAGAAACGACCGTGAGCAGTGGTGGGCAACGAAAGCAAAAGAGATGGAAAAGGCGGGGGCTATAGGGAACACAAGGCAGCTCTACAGACTAATAAAAGAAACTAGAATAATTAAGTGAAGTGTAGGTGAGACGATCTCGTAAAAAGACGACACTCATCTGCTCCCAGTCCAGACGTTTAGAACGATGGTCGGAGTCAGTCAGTCAGCTACAACGTAGGACCAGGCACATATGTGCATCGGTCCAGGTTGCCATACCGCATCAGCACAACAAGGTGAACACCGGATTCATAGCAGTGGTTAATGTCAAAGGTGGTAATATATAAGGGAAAGATTGCAATAAGGATATAGTACAGGAAGAAAGAATTAGTTCGTAGAAAGAAATATATGAAGCGATTTTAATCTCTTAGTTTAAGAGAAGACAGGGAGTGTATACACCGACGCCATTGTGATCGATTCCGAGCCATGTCACCAAGAGTCTCCAACCATTGGTTACGATAGTCACGCGGACCCCAACCAAGTAGTCTGCATCTACCAACATGGCTCAGATTAGAAGTTAGTGACTTCAAGCACTGATGCCACGTTTTGGTTTGGCCGCCCCTAACATTCTTCCAACCATCTCCAATACCGGTTAGCGTTGCACGACATGGTAATCGGTGTTCAGGCATACGTAACACGTGGCCCAACCATCTCAGTCGATGAAGATTCACAACCTCATCAACTGATTTACCATCATTCCCTAATACCCTGCGTCTAACCTCACTGCTGCTTTTAAGTCGAGAAAGACCACCATTGTCGGACGCCGATAAGTATGCCTGTGTTCTAGAACCTGACGAATGGTGAATATGTGGTCGATGCAGCCACGACCAGGTCTGAAGCCAGCTTGGTTCTCTCGTGTTTGCAGTTCACGAGTCTTAGTTAAGCGTCTGATAACTATCGAGGCTAGCATTTTAGATATTATATTAGTTAAACTAATCCCTCTGTGGTTGTCACAGGATGATTTTGACCCTTTCTTATATATTGGGACGATAAGTGATTGCGAAAAGTCAGATGGAATAACGTCCAACTCCCAGATCTTAGCTAAAATATTAGTCAACCTAATCGTTAAACTTGGACCACCATCCTTGAAGACCTCTGGAGCCAATCCATATGGACCAGCTGCTCTTCCTCGTTTCAGACTAACTATAGCCTTTTGAACTTCAGCAAGAGTTGGGGGACCTACATCAACGTTCCATTCACACTGTCTGGGAATGGAGGGTAGTTGTAGAGTAGCTGAAGGCCAGCTGAACTGTTCTCTGAAATGTTCCGCCTTGGTGGTGGTCCAAGTTTAACGATTAGGTTGACTAATATTTTAGCTAAGATCTGGGAGTTAGACGTTATTCCATCTGACTTTTCGCAATCACTTATCGTCCCAATATATAAGAAAGGGTCAAAATCATCCTGTGACAACCACAGAGGGATTAGTTTAACTAATATAATATCTAAAATGCTAGCCTCGATAGTTATCAGACGCTTAACTAAGACTCGTGAACTGCAAACACGAGAGAACCAAGCTGGCTTCAGACCTGGTCGTGGCTGCATCGACCACATATTCACCATTCGTCAGGTTCTAGAACACAGGCATACTTATCGGCGTCCGACAATGGTGGTCTTTCTCGACTTAAAAGCAGCATTTGACTCTGTAGACCGCGAGATTCTTTGGCAGTGTCTGTCGTTGAAAGGCGTACCTCAGAAGTACATAAACCTTGTGAGGGCTCTTTACTCGAACACTACCAGTCCAGTCAGAGCTTATGGCGAACTGTCATCTACTTTTGCAACCTCAAGTGGTGTCCGTCAAGGCTGTCCACTTTCTCCATTTCTGTTTAACTTCATCATAGATCTACTGATGGAAATAGCATTCTCATCGACTGAGTTCTCGGGTATTGATCTCCATCCAGGAGGTCAACTTATCGATTTAGAATACGCAGATGACATAGTCCTGTTTGGTGAAGACGCTGATAGAATGCAGAGTGCTTTGGTAGCACTGAGCAACAATGCCAGAATGTTTGGAATGCGCATCTCTCCCTCTAAATGCAAGTTGTTGCTTCAGGACTGGCCTGCGTCAACACCTGAACTAAGGATAGGGAGTGAAGTAGTCGAACGCGTTGACAACTTCACTTATCTTGGAAGTTTGATCAACCCTAAGGGGTTGGTGTCTGGAGAAATCTCAGCACGGATTCGGAAAGCTGGGTTGGCTTTTGCCAACATACGTCAACTATAGCGAAGGCGAGATATCCGCCTATCAATAAAAGGACTAGTATACTGCGCAGCAGTCCGTTCTGTTTTAATTTACGGCTGCGAAACATGGCCATTAAGAGTAGAAGACACTCGTAAGCTATTAGTATTTGACCACGGATGCCTTAGAAATATTGCTGACGTCTGCTGGGATCACCGAGTAAGTAATAGTGAGGTTAGACGCAGGGTATTAGGGAATGATGGTAAATCAGTTGATGAGGTTGTGAATCTTCATCGACTGAGATGGTTGGGCCACGTGTTACGTATGCCTGAACACCGATTACCATGTCGTGCAACGCTAACCGGTATTGGAGATGGTTGGAAGAATGTTAGGGGCGGCCAAACCAAAACGTGGCATCAGTGCTTGAAGTCACTAACTTCTAATCTGAGCCATGTTGGTAGATGCAGACTACTTGGTTGGGGTCCGCGTGACTATCGTAACCAATGGTTGGAGACTCTTGGTGACATGGCTCGGAATCGATCACAATGGCGTCAGTGTATACACTCTCTATGTTCCCTTAAACTAAGAGATTAAAATCGCTTCATATATTTCTTTCTACGAACTAATTCTTTCTTCCTGTACTATATCCTTATTGCAATCTTTCTCTTATATATTACCACCTTTGACATTAACCACTGCTATGAATCCGGTGTCCATCTTGTTGTTGTCAATGTGGTATGGCAACTTGGACTGATGCACATATGTGCCTGGTCCTACGTTGTAGCTGACCTACTCTATGATGTTCGTTTTATTGTAAAAATCCTACAGCGAAATCCAGTCAGTCAATTCAGAAAAGTAAAACAACCATCAAAATCAAATTAACTCATACACTAGGCACTTTGGGATGAGCCACACTCTAAGTGTCATAGTTGATGGTACTAGGCGGTTGTCCAAACAGCAGTAGAAGACGAATAGTAACCAATGTTAAGAGATAAATCTATTCAGGAATGATCATAGTGGCCGTAAAGTAAATCTTTTAGGCACTAATGATAGTAGTTTCATTACATTTATTCTTCCGTGAGTCAAGACTTCGACTAACAGAAAGAAGTATACGCTCAGCTACACACAGAACATCCGCACAAGTAAATAATCAGCAATTGTGTTCCAAATAAAAATCGAACCCATTATTAGATTTAGATAATTAAGGGAAGGTCATTCAGACATATATAATCGCACAAACTCACCTTCTTAGTAAATAGTTTATTACGCTTAATCGGTGGCTCACGTAACGGTCGGTTTCTTTCCACTCGCCTATCAATTAAAGATAATGTTAAAGATGGCATGACAATGAAAAGTAGCCAAAATAACTGACCAATGCTAAGACTCGGTTCTAAATTCCAATCCGAACTGTAGTGTAACAAATTAATGTTAGTGTGCTTATCAGTTTTGCTTAAATTACCAAAAATTTCACTTGAACCAAAAATAACTGATCGAAATGGTTCCACAGGCAGCCAAATCAATTCGCCTTGTTGAAGATTTGATCGCACATCTAGCAAAACAACAGGTCGTGTAGGCAACCCGATTATTAATAGTAGTAATTGTAGTAAACCAACTGCTAACGGAGTTGTTGAACTGAACACCAAACAATGATAGAGGTTATTAACACTGGCGTGAGCCTGATTAATATAAATGGGAAAATAAAATGCTCAAAAGTATTCTGAATAATCACTAAAGTATACCATAGTGTACAAGTCAGCAAAATTTCACTAAACGGTTAATATTTTAAGTCACTAGATAGTTTCTAACATTATACCATCCAGTCAACTGTGTAAGTCAAAATCTATGGATTAAGTTGAAGAATGTATTCTCTCCAAACAGGATTATTCTAAAGCAATATTAATTGCTCAAACGTCTGGATCACCTATTTCCAAGTTGTACATGCATCAGAATTCACCTTCCCGTTTCAGATCTATGTGGACTGGAAAGCTATAAATATGATGTATATTTACGTGCAATTATAAAAGGTTTACAAATTATCAAGATGGTGAATACTGGAAAACTTAAACAGAAAAACTGAAGTTGTTGGGACGTTTCCCTCTTTGCAGACGAATATATTGAAATTCATGCAATTTATTTACAATGGACAAAAAAGAGATGTTGTAACCGATGGTACGAAATTTTGTTAGTTGGGGATGGGTAGTAGATACCGAGTGTTAAAGACACACATAAAAAACGTCCTGAAATATATATGGCTTGAATGTATACTAAACAGAAGTTTGTTGTAATATTGTATAATTGGTGCTGAGAACACCTTACTGTAACAACTTTTACATTCCAATGAAATTTATGCGACTTGTAAAGGATTCATAAATGTTAGAGAACAGGAGAGTAACTATATTAAAGAACAAGAGATCTCTATCATAACCCAGTGGATTGGGTGATAATGCTATCAAGATTTAAGCAATAAGTCTTGGATTTAGGTCTCAATGAAAAAATTACCATGGTGACCCAAGCACATAAAGCTCAGTGTGAAATACAACAAAAAGCATGTTTCGGATTTTACGCAAATAAAAAAAGTGATACGAGAACCACTGTAGTACGTATAATTTTACTCTACTTACCTCAACAATAAGATCGTAAACATGAAATCCTGTTTTCTCTATATCCAAAAGACAAGGTGTAACTAAGTGTACAAGATGTGCAGCAATGTCGAATGTATTAAAATTTGTAGTATCACTTTCCTGATGTGTAGAAGTCGAGTTTTTTTTCGAACAACTAAACTCTTCTGACTGGAGATCACTTATTAACCGATCAACAGACTTGAAAGTTATACAACGAAAAGAAAGAATTCAAACGAAATTAATTAAAACAATAATGCATATAACAGAGTCCAGTACATTGAAAATGATTTTTAAAAATCGTAAATGATAAACTTTCTTATCATAGGAATAATAAAAGAATGATTAACTTACCGTTTTAAAGCTTCGCGAAGATAATCGCTGAGTTGAACACACACATACGGTTCTTACATACTTATCAAAAGTGCCGTTTATTTGATTAGGTATAAGCATTTATTGAGAAGAACAAAGCCTTCTATGAAAGTAAGCTTAAAAAGCTGTACTTTAATAGAATAAGAATTCTGTGGCATTACACAAATTAATTTTTACTGCTGTTATATGCTGCTAGGTCCATTATTAATTCATCCTCGTTATACAAGCTAGCGGCTATTTAGACTCAGTAGCTCAGTGGGTAACGCGTTTGGTATTCCAAATGAAAGATACTGGGTTCGAGGACCGCAGTGAACATTAAAACTGGAATGCAAGTACATTCAGCTAGAAGGACATGTGTCCTGGATTACACTGTAAGCCACTACTAAAACTTAATTATATCAGATTTGTTCAGTCCATAATGTTGATCGAATTACATCGATCAAGTCACGCGGATAGCTGTAGTCGCACCACTGACTGTGGCACTGGGTGACGCTGATTTAAACACCACAGGGAGCACCAGTTCTCTTACATTTGCTGATATACCGTAACAAAAATCAAAATCTAAGGCTTCATACTAGTAGTTTTTAATGTCCTAACAATACTCTTTTATGTATAAGCATCAAGACAAATGTGTAGCAGCCAAAAAAGTTAACCGATAACCTCCTATTAGATTGCTTGGCGAAGAAAATAATTACAAAGGACAGGTAAACAAATCACTTGCGATAATTTGTAGTGAGACGATACGTGCAACCAAGACAGTGGATGATATACTATGAAAGTGTGTGACAGCTTTAGAAAACTTCTGAGTACTAAATAGGTGTTATTTGTTACTGATTGTGAGTGTATTGATGTCAAGTACTAAACATAATGCACAAACTCTCCATAAGGCTGCACTATGTTCTATAATTTCTGAACTAGTGTTTTAAATTACACAGGAGAAAAAAATGTCAACGGAAGTTGATTTTGGAAGGAGGTTAATGCAGCAGTCGAATCTGGGTGAGTTAGCTAACATTCTATTACAATTAAGGAAATTATAAACAGAAATGAGATTTTTTTTTATTTTTTATTTTATGTAAGCAACACATTCCCTATTACCCTCTATTGAATGATAAAATTTTCATGTATTCAAATAGTTGAGCCCCGCACTCCATTTGTTTCCCATGTTGTGGCGCTGTGGCCTCAATCATAAAGCTTTTTGATTCCACTATCTTACGAGGAGTAAATATAAGCCTAAAATATACACAAGAAGTAAAGAGAAATTTTGGTGTGTTTGTTCATGTTTTGCATTACTTTAGATTCGTGATTTTCGAAGTAATTTTTTTAGTTTTTTACAGTCCTCTGTGTTTTACTCGAGGACCAAGAGTGTAAAACTTCTGGCGAAGCGACTGAGAAGTCAGTGTTAAAGTGATCGAGTAAGGGTTTATCACTGAGTTGCTGCTACCTTGACACAGTGGTCGGGCTAGTCTATCGTGATGAACCAGTCGAGCTATACTGGTTTGGACAATCGTTCCTCACGGTCCTACCATACCATACAGCTTGGTTGAAGAACGGTAAGACTAAAACCAGCAAACCAAAGGCCCAAAGGCGAAGTCGTACTGCTGACTGTACAACAGTGTGACAGTAGTAAGGTGTTTCTTCAGACAACCAGCATAACAGCGATACTACCTTCTCATACGGAGGGTGTGGGGTTGGAAGAGGTCGAGCCTAAAATGCACATATCGCCTTATTCCACCTATTTCCATCTCCGGTGGTAAGGTTCCAATAAGTACGGAGCTAACACGAAAATTAATCACTTAGTTCGACGCATATATATGCCTGGTCCTACGCTGTAGGTGACTGACTGATTGCACTAATATATTTCCAGTAATAATAGTTTTTAAAAGTGTTCGCATGGATGAGGTATATGAAATGAAGTTTATATTTAATAATAAGGGTGGGATTATTATAGGAAATATGAACTCACTTGATTCGAGACAATGTACTTGGTATTTGCAAATTGACAATTCGAGTAGGGTAGAATAGGTTTCACAGCGATAGCTACATCACTTTGTTGAAACAATATATAGTTGGTTAATGAATAACAGCTTCCAATTAAGCAAACAGTATCCCCATATTCTTTCATTATTTGAATCATTTCGCTAACAGCTTTTCAATAAGTAAATAAACAAAGAGAATGATATTGAGATGTTAAGTGAGATGAATGATTCATAAACAGTTCAACAGTTTTAGTAATGTTTGATAAGTCACTGTTGTTGATTTAATTAATCGAATACAGGTATAAGCGTTAACAAAGCAGAGATAGGATACTCTGATACTTGAATGTTAAAGCTGGTAAAGTGCAAACGACGTTTCCATCATACATCTTGATTCTGAATGTTAGAAAATAAACTCAAGTTTGTGTGCCAGACATCATTTTAGTGACAGGGATGAGTCCTCTGCTGTTTAATTAGTGGTCTGAAAGGAGAGGCTTTTATTGATCATGAATTTTGGCAAGCGATTGAAAGGTTTCAAACATGAATTTATTTTTCATTCCAAGTTAAAATCCCTAATACAAATGAATTATAAAAGTGTTCTTTGTAAACTAGTGACAGAATTTTGTAAATAGATAGAAAAAACAACGAAATTTATAGAGGTAGCTAAGGTAAATATCACTAAAAAATTTTTCACACTCCATCTTACAGTTTTTCAAGATGACAAAGGAAAGTTACAATTGCCCGAGATTTTGAGCTATATCTGTTAGCATCTCAAATAAAATAAAATACAAATAACTGTAGTTTAGTTGGATGGGCAGTATTACTGATTTTTACATTATGAACTCATGACTAAGTTTTACTTACTGTTCTTACTTGGTGCTGCAGAAATAAAAAGATACAAGTGGGTGAATGGTTTTGAAACAGATAATAGAATAGTGTACTAAGAACCTATAATTCAGGTAATTAACTATGTCACTAGTCTACTAGGTCGTAATACATTCCACATACCAAGATCAGAGAATCAGGTACTATCACTCAGTCACACATAATTATTATTAATAATAATAATAATAATAATAATAATAATAATAATAATAATATCAACAGAATACTGATTTACAGTATTTAAAGTGCTCAGATGAAATGTATCGATTCATTTAGTCATTCCTGGAATCCCGTAACGTTTATTTGGAATCCGCCCAAAAATTCAAACGTTAACATGTTCTAAATCGAACTAAGAAAGTCAGCAAATAGTTCTTTAAAATTTCAAACACTTTAAGGTCGCGAGAAAATAGTGAAATACAGTAAACTGTGTTCACAACTCTTTAACGGTGAGGGTGATAGAGGTAAACTAGACTGGCTTTTACTCCAGTGACTAGATAATCATACTGAATTCCAACGGAAAAGCACTCAATTATTTAAGGTTTTCGGCTTTCAATATATATAAAATAATGACTGTTATAACTGAAATAGTTAAAAACCACTTCGAAAATTCCTAACATAATACATGTTGGAAAACGTCTAAACAAGTATACCGTAAGACATTCAGCAAAGATATATGTATCAAAATATGGGAAAATGTGTCATTGATGTTTACTGTAAAAAATCATTTTAACTGTGTTCGAAAACGAAACGATCGGGGACTGTATAGGTAAGCAAGTCATAGCGTTATGCCGTACAACATGTTATTTAAATAATTATGTAATATACAACAATTAACCTTTAGGTGTACAATCAGTAAACAATGATACTTGTAATGGAACGTTATCGACATTTTCTAAATGTGGGCGTATGCTATCGATTCCACATGGAAGTCGGGACTGTAAAAGAAAGAGATAATGAAAACGTTAACTTAATACCAAATAAAGAAGTAGTTGAAACATCACAGAGAGAGAACTATTACTTGTTAAAATACAACGAACTGATCAAAAAGACAAATGGAATATATTATTATGACCGATATCTTTACGACATATTGTTCTTTGTATATAAAACAACAACCGAATAAAAAATCATTTAAAAACTGATGCAACTACTTGATAACCCTGTTGATATTTATCTCTCCAGATTTGAGCAACACTTACTATAAAAAAAGTGCGATTAGGTAAACCAAATGGATAAAATTCAAGTGCTTAATTTCTTGGTCTACAGAGTCACAATAAGTCAGCTTAAAGTGAAGTCGGATGTAAAATGAGAGGGAGTAATTATATTCTCAGAAATATACGTGATCAGTGTAACGAGAAATTATTCAGACAAGTAGTCATTTTCTCAGACCTTATAACTTGCGGTAAGTGCTTAAGGTTCTGAAATAATACATCATCGTCAATATATACCAAGATAAAATACCTGTCTAATGCTCTCTGGATCTAAATAACTCGTAACAAAAGAGCAACAAAATCTGTATATGCGTTGAAAGTATATGTGATTCAACCATTATTTATACTGAAAAATAAAACCCAGTATGTAATGATAACACAATCAAGATGCGAAAGGCTTTTAATGAATCATTATTTCAAGGCTGTTGAATGATAATTATCAGTATAGGGTTGTGGAGATTGTTTTATTGAGATCATTAACTGATCAACCTTAGACCACCAATGAAAACCTGGAAGCACTGGAAGGCCATTTCGTCCCAGTATGAGACTACTCAGCAGTACGAATCCACGATCCCACATGCGGACGCTTGACATCTAAACCACTGAGCCGGTATTAAGAAGGAGACTGTTTGAAGCCCGAAAACATTTAGTGATATTTTCGAAACAAAGCTTAAATAAATGATAAAAACAAAGATTACGAATCTAAAAAGAATGGATGCAGACCATTAAGGTTTTTATCTTGTTAAAATCCATAACAATATGAGAGGAAAAAGTATGATATTTTGAATTCAAGACATGTCAATGCTTGTCTAATTCAAGACACTTACTAGTACTCAATCAAATGGATAGTTAGCATGATCCTTAGATAACGGCTCAAGCAAAAGTTGTTCCGATTTATAGGAATATTAGCACCAAGAATTTACTGCTGATTCGTAATATTCAGTATGGATAATTTTCAATGCTCAATAGCGTTTTAGTTACTGTAAGACTGAATATAATTTGTAGATGAGAGCCATTATCCCATAAAGGCAAATTTGTGAATTAGATTCTGGTCTTATGAAAGTAAACAACAAATTCCTCAAAATAAACATCGACTTTATAAATTTAGTATTGATGTAACGATTTTTGATCATGTTATTTATGAATTGTAACATTATATGGATGTAAATTAGTCATTTATTATGTTCGATAATGAGATGACATTGAAATGTGAAGACAAAATTATTCTGAACACCGTTTCAACAAAAAACTACAGAAAATTACCTTGTTCCTGACCAACAATTCCGACAATTTTATTTCTTCAGAATAATCACTTTGTCCATCTACTGAGAGCGATACAGAACTAGTTGAATTACTTGACGAGGACAAGTGATATGAACCGAATGATTCCTTTGGACCTATTTCGTTTGAACGAATCTGCTGAAGGTAACTGGTAGACACAGCATGAGCGAAATTATTGTTAATATGATCATGAGAGCATGAAGATTCAAAGTCAGAGTCAATTTGTCGGGAATTCAAACATGGAGAGATTGATTTCAAACAGTTTGCTTCACAATACTCAGGAAATGGAGTAGATTGAAAGAACTGTGGATCAGATGTGGACCCGAATTTCTTCCCAAAATTTTGTAAAGTATAAATGAATAATAAATAGCTATTTACTACAGATTGTTATTGTTACCATCAAAAGTGTTTCATTGAAATTTTTAGAGCACAAAGAGACATAACAATGTTTGAGCCATTCTGTCCCATTCCGCTATCTACAAATAATTCCCCTATCTACAACTAAGAGAGAATTGTATCTAAATGGTTTAGGCATCTGACTCTCAATTGCTGAGTTGTAATTTCAAGTCAATACATCACACCACAAGGGTATATGAAGTTGACTAGATTTGATGACTCAACACAAAGGGTATGTGCATGCAAAGGATTCTGTCAGTCATGGAGTGAAACACTATATTTATAGACGCTAATAGTCAAATAATTAAATGGGATTTGAGTAGCCTGTATCATCAAAGAGTACAATAATATTAATCGAGTAATTGAGGTCGAAATTCGATTTTCAGAGGACTGCTTTATAGTACTAGTGTTTTTGCATATCTATCTGTCTCCAGGATGTCATTAATGTCAAAATAGAAAGGAACGACGAGATTGGGGAATCCTGAGCAACACCACTGCTCTATTGGATCAATGGAGATGGATAGTGACTAGCATTGGAATCCATGACGTGCATTTCGTCCTATTTGGGACTCGTCAGCTAGATGTACCTGCATTCCAGAGTAGATGTTCACTCCGGAACTCGAACGAACAAAACTCGCGTCCTGGACTCCCCTGCTAGTCACCATTCACCTATGCTTATAGTGTTTGTGACTTAATGCAATATCGAGGCAACCACCACAGGATGTACATGCCAATAAGAGACTGATCAATTGCAACCCTAAACATCAATGAGAAGATTCAAACAATCAATGAGAAAATAAATTGATAGAGATAATACTTTGTTTAAAGTTTTTTAGAATGTTGATAGACGCACGATATAATTTTTTGCGTATAATATTAGGTCAAAGTATTATTCAACGAACGAGAGGTGGGGTAAATATTAAGAGGCAAAGTGACTGATGTCTTGGAATGAACGAGACGATGTTCAAGAATCAGTTTGCGCAAATGTTCATAAAGCAGTAACTATCAAGCATAGAGGAAGTTGGTAAATATGTGACCACAGATTGCTTTACTCTGGGTCTATAAAATGAAAGTGAATGACATTACTATCAATTTCGGTGTGAAAGGCTAAACATCGGGGAATACAGTTCGAAAAGGAATGAATTCGATAAATAAAAAGTACGAAACAATATTGAAGCTCGAGGCTAAGGGGGATATAAAGAGGAAGCTCATCTGGGTCACTGTGGGCAATTCTGGACCACGTCACTCAACGCCTCCAATTACTGATTGAGGTTGACCCAGGCCAGTCCCGAAGATACATTTTGTATTTACAGGGGGGAAACACGTCGCAAACATTCTTGGACACGTCATGATGCACGGCGTTCGAAATCTGACACTGATACAAAACGTGTTACGCGCCAACCCTCACCCCCAACTTACTACTTGAAGTCAAGAGTGAAGGAGAAAGTCTACTAGGGCACCGAATAACATGCATAAACACTCATATATAGACATTTTATCCCTTGAAAATCAACCCATATCTTAGCCAGTGGTATGTATTTGTCCTTTAGGATATTTCTAATTATCAAGTGACCCTGCTGATTGGCACGCTATAGCAGGATTGTCACTCGAAGTAGCCAGAAGGCTTTACAGTATTTCTGGGTCTCCAATGAACACAACCATGTCATCAGTATATTCCAAGTCAACAAGTCAATCTCTTGGTAGATCAGTCCCTAAAAACCCAAACAACGTCAGTTTCCTCTCAAGCAATGTCTATGATTTTGGTAAGTAAAAGAAGTAGAGTCCTAATAAGCATTACTCATTGTTTTTAGTTCTGCTAACAATCTGTCATAACTCTAAATACGACTGTTGGAGCTCGAGCAAAGAGCCTTCAGATGGTTCGCGTACTTTTCTAGTACATAGTTCAATTAAAAAACTGCTTCAAAACTACCTGGTATATGGAGTTAAATGTTGCCCTCAGATCGAGAAACATGATTGGTTAGTCAAGTGTCGGTACGTATGCATGTTCTAAATCCTGCCAAAAGATAAAGCTTTTCCGGATACATACAAATCCAAGAACGAAATTGGCTTTTCTCGTATTTGCTGATCGTTAACTTCTTTTAGGCGTCAATTAATTCTCGAGACTAATCCTTTAGACGCCATATTCCTCAAAGTTACTTCTTTATGGCTATTACGAGGGAAAACTAGTCCGGTATTATAGATTGGGATGATCGATGATTGAGACAAGTAAGACGGGACTACATTTAGCTGTCCGGCTCTAGATAACATTGTACTCAACTCTTAAAGCTGGACTACCATTCTTGGAGATTTCTAGAGTCAACTGATCAGGTCCTGCTGCTCTCCACCACCCCAAATTAAATAGTCTTTCCAAACTTGCTAAGTTATCGGATTTGTGTCAATCTCCCATTTAGGTTGCATGGGAATAGCAGGTAACTGAAGAGTGACCAGAGGTCAGTTAATTGTTTGTTGTTCCTTAAAGTGCCTTATCAATCGTTTTAAACTGAGTGGAATACTGTTTTATCTTTTTCTGTAACACTTCCATCAACACATTTTTTAATATCGATTTCCTTGGTGAGTTTGAACAGTTCCATATAGGTGTTAATCACTAATGTCTTCTCCATCTTTTATTTTTGCTGACCACTACTACTCACAGTCATTACGTAGAAATTTTATCAATCTGCTTCGAAATTTCCTTAACTATTCATCGTTATCAGAACCTGAAGTGATGAGTCTTCAAAGATCCGTTAATTTGGTAAAGACTTCTAGATCACTGAAATCATGAACCGATGAATGTTAAACCACTACTGAAAACTTGGAAGTACTGTATGGCCGTTTCGTACTAATATGACACTTCTCAGCAGCGCGAATCCACGATCCCGCACAAGGAGCTCGAACCTGGGCCCTTCGGTCTCGCGCGAACGAGTTCTAGTGAGAAGCTGTAGCCAGTGGAGATTAATCGCGTCGGGTGTGAGGCAGTTACCCACTGAAGACAATGGAAGATAGTCGCGTAATATCGTGGATTGTTCGAAGTTAGACACTGACACCGTTGGATACCGGTTCAGTGGTTTAGATGTTAAGCGTCCGCATGTGGGATCGTGGATTCGTACTGCTGAGTAGTCTCATACTGGGACGAAATGGCCTTCCAGTGCTTCCAGGTTTTCATTGGTGGTCTAAGGTTGATCAGTTAATGATCTCAATAAAACAATCTCCACAACCCTATATTGCTTCTGGACCAGTTGACTATTCTTAATTTCGTGGTCTAGGTTGGTAACAAATACCACTGTTTTTACAACAGTGAACTGCAGATCATGGCATGCTACTTCAAGATGAACATCCTCTACACGATCGACTAAATGCTTAGTTAACTCTATCTTAAACGTATCCTTGACATTTACATTTTTAAAATGAGTTCAAAAAGGTATCCTGTGAACGTTTTGTGTCCAATAAGCCACAAATAAACACGAGCTCACAAAACAGAGTGGTCGGAATTTAAATAGGATTGAGATTCATCAGTTGAGCCCTTCAAACAACGACTGATAGTAATCTGATCTGTTTGTGTTCATCCTTGTGACGTCGGTGGTCTTCAGGTTATACAGTATTTGCTACTGTTCAAAGTTGTTGCTTACAATTACTAAAGATGTCTGGAAGTAGTTAAAAAAAATGGTCGCCAGTTTCTGTCCACTTAGCTGAGATGCCAAAATACACGCCTGAGTATCTTTCAGTTCCACTTAGCCCACCTGCTTGGTCGTTGATATTATTAACGATAATTGCTACGTTTGATAGTTTAGCTTTCTGGAGGTTAGATAAATCTTCATAGAGCCTGTCTTTTAATTCGTTTGTGTTGCAATAAGTGGGGGGTAAAGGCAGAAATGAAAAAATACCAGCGCTTATCACTATTTCCGAGTCCTCGTTGTACCACTTATTTTGGCGGCTCATAAGTAACTTTCGAGAGGAATTCATTCGAGGCGTACATGTTGTCTTTCAACTTAGTAATATTTCAGTGGCCCGATAACGACGCCATTTAGGTCGGACGATGTTGTCGACAGGTTCACCACTTTTGAGGCTCCGAATCTGACTCCAATTAGATCGTATGTTGATCGCTGTCGAAATATACATTCCGCTAATCCTCGTATATAATCATCGACTTGAATTGCGTTAGTGAATAACGGAGTTAAATAAGCCACATACGATAATGAATTTTGAATATGTATGCTTCGTGTACTCACCGATTTGAACAGACAATCAGGGAGACGAAACAAAGAGGAAAGGGTGGAACGGATTAGAGAAGGCAAGTATGCCAACTCGATTTAACCGAGCATTAGTCAATATTTATAGCCAGATAAGAATAAGCTACAGGTAAGATAAGATGTGCACTCACATACGCTCATCTAAAAACAGTCAGAATAAATAAGTCAATAAGTGACAAGGTCAAAATGTGGTTTAAGAAAAATGAATAGATTGGCTTGTTCGGAATCTAGAATAAACTATGTGGGTTTAACATATACATAACGTTACACTATTCCCCACAATATACTTACACTGCAAGACAATGAGAAGTTAATGTCGGGTCTCCAGATACACAAAAGGATAGTTACAACTGGATCTCCATACTGGCTAGATGGAGTCAAGTGAATTATCACACCAGCATCCTGTTTCCGTATTTCGGAGACAGTATAAATGGATGACAAAAGATTCTAGAGTCTCACAAGGGTATGTAATCGTAATATACTGGTCCGAAACACTTTTTTTAAATATATGGCTTTACAATATAAGTAAAGTAGTTGGAGCATTTTATCTAGATTATTCAAAGACTATGTTTTGTGTAGAGCATCTGGTTGAATGTTAGTATTCCATGGTTTGTATTTTAACTACTCACTTACAAGGAAAATAATATGCATCTCTAGAAAACTGACACGAAAGTGACAGAAAAATGTCCGATTCGTAGGATGATTTATTTTCTGAGTGATATCACCGACCGAAAAATCTGATCTAGCTTTTCTGAAGTTACATTTATCATGTAAACCTGCCTCCAACGTTTGTACATTGATGCAGACCATACAATAGACAGGTTTGGCTAAAAACTCTAAAAGTTTCGATATGCATGTCTGTTATATACCTGAGACTTGTATTTAAGATTCTGGTCAAGTAAAACAAAGTGATTCGCCATCTGCCAGTTCGAAAAGTTTATTTGATATATACTTGTCCAGTGACTCTATTGCATCAGCTTCCAGTTTCCCTGGTGTTAGTGTCATACTGAAGAAATATTGCTGGTAAACTGGACACTAATTAACAGTCGCTTATGCACTTTTTCTTATTTTTTTATTTTATTTTAACACATAGATATTGGTACAAGGGGACATCATATACATACGCACCACACAAATCTCATTTGATTTGTGTGAGGGCTGTGATACTGACCGGGTGCCCAAACCGAAGCAGGTGGTTTTCTTAGGAGGTCACACCCGGAGCCTTCGACCTGAAGGTCTGGTCCACAAGACAGTGGAGCAACGTAAGGACATGCAGTCCCATGGTAGCCGGTGACCAACGATTGGTTCCTAGGCCGTTTGTTCCTTCAGGATACTGGAGCCCATGTCCACTTTTGGTTCGGAATCATGGTTTTCCAACTTCCCTAAGTATACTCTCCTTGTCCACCAACCCGGTTAAAGCGCCGGACATTCGCTTTTCGTCCTCTCGACTTCGTAAACGACACCCCCGCCACGAGAAGGCAATGAGTAGGACTTCCCTGGGAGAGGCTATATACGAGTGACCGTGTGAGAGCATTTCGAGAGGGAGAGCTGACTGTCCCCACTCTCGGCCGTACCAGGGCATTTTTTATGCACTTTTAGGTTAGGTTACACCAAAGTAAGAAGAAACGGGGTGAGAAATCATGATTTTTGTTATCCCTACCTACATACGAGGGGACTGCATTTCGAGTGAAACTAACGCTGACTTCTATGTCCTAATTAGATCAAATTCATTATAAATCATATTTAATAGATCTTCTGTTGTTAGCTGAGGACTTGAATGAACAGGTATGTGGGTCAAGGGACAAAGAAGAGGTCATTTGAGTGGATAATGAGGACTCGATGGTCGAAGGTTAGATGACGGGGACAGTCTCTATAGTTTTGTGAAGAGTTCAACCTGTTTCTGGTCAGCGCCAAACTCCAGGAAAGTCATCGCCAACATGTCAACCAGTGTCCTTTCTATAAAACTGAACGGTGGATTTAAACTGGTCATATTGCAGTCAACTACTTATGGTGTGGATGTGTCGGTGACAGAAGTTTTGCTTGAAGCCTGACAATATTTTGAGATCATGTTTTATCGTCGATCCCCAAAGGTTTGCTCACATACGGTTCAGTTTGAGAAAGTGTTTGATATTATGGATGCTAACGATATCATCAAAATGTGCAGTGACATACAGGTTATCCAAATCACAGTGGGAATATGGCATCATTGCCAGTGAAGTAGAGTTAAAACCAGAGCTAACTTTAGAGATATTTCCATGGCCATAACAAAAGAGAGGAATAATATAAAAAACACATATGTACTAAAAAAATAAATCATTTAAAGATTATTTAGTGAAGTTCTAAATAATCATAAGTTTTTCTTTATATTGAAGAGCAGCTGTAAAAGTAATCTTAATCTAAATGAAAATATTTATAAAACATAGATCACCTTTCTGGAGATTTGTACTAATCGAGTTATTACTGTCATCGAAACAATCTTAAGTAGATACATCCACTTACTGAGAAATATGACGTTGCTAGTGCCGGAGAACTTGACCATCGCTTAGTCTGATGGGAACCTTATGGAAGGTAAAGAATAAAAAAGCAGTTAGAAGATGGAAAAACATCTGTTAAAATTAATGTAAGATCAAATTACTTACCAACAAAGTATTTTCCTTCAGTGACGAACAAATCAGTTCCAAATGAAAATTTATAGCTTTTACGGAATTCTTTAGGCAGACCAACGGATTTGCGATTACTAACAGAATTAGGACTCTTAAGCGATATATGACAATTCCAACCACATTCTAACCCCAAACGTTCAGCGAACACTCTACTTCGAAGTTCATTTTCCTTAACAAAATATACGAGAAATAACACTTTTACAAAATATAGTAGTAGACCAACCCGTGTTATTTAAGAAAAAGATAATTAATAATAGTGTCACTAATAAGTTTCTGGGAAAAGTAGTTATGAATTAAGATCGGGAAATTCGCTCATTAAAAGCACTGAAGATAGTTTCAAGGATTGGAAAGTAAAACAGCATATCTTGTGAAAAGAACTACTAAGGAAAAGTTTTAGTGGTCACTCTCTTGAATAGTTCTTTTAATAATACACCTCGAACGAGAAACTATGTGTTACAGTGGTCCATTAAATAATAATCATATAATTAATGACCACGTATTAAGCATATTGTTTAGAAACTCCGACGCACCATATGTCACGTGAAATAAAACTATAAATAATACGTCGCGTAATGTTGTGAACGAAATCCCATCAAAACATTTCAAGAAATTAGTATCGTTACTGCTGGGAATAGTTAAGCATATATATTGTGAGATTGTACAGTATGTGTAAAGACGTAAAAATATAAACTATTTAACTAACACTATAAATGATTCAATAATTTCCAGTTATAAATATAGTCAAACAAAAAATCATCCTATCGAAAAAGTCCTTTGCATTACCTTAATAAGAACAAACACAGAATAATACTAAATACAAAATATAACATACAGTTTATCAGTGAACGTGTACAATGACTTCTGAGTTACCCTTATAGATCGTGATACTACTGGGTTGCAAACTAAGTTAATTAATTTTTGGAACCATGATATAATCGCTGACAGTTGAGTGGCTTTATTAACTTACAGGGAGTGGGTTGTCTAGGTTTACTAGCTACCTAACAGCCACATACTTTACAGAAACGGGCACCAAACTGGAATAAGTGACGTGACCATCAGATTAGTTTTAAAAGCTACGGATAGTAGCTAGTCCTTTGTATGGCTTAATAACAGTATTTTCCATGGAAGTATCTCAAAAGTAGTTTGGCATGAAGTAATAACAATAATACTTACCAGACAATTGTTACTTACTCGAGAAAAATGTACAAATCGTATACAAGCTTGATGAAGTTGTTTAATGGACTTCACAACTTGAGGATTTGCCTGATACTGCATACTTATTAGACCTAAGAATATTTGATTGTTCAGTATAACGTCCACTTCTTTCTGATCAATACGTACATTACTCCTACAAAATAACGGTAAAAAAATGAGGTAATTGTGAAAAATATTTACAGAAGTTATTTAGATGAGGAAAGACAACTATTATGTATAAAAGGGGTCTAACATATAAGAGACTGAATGTTGTCTGAACGAATGGTCATTGAGAATCAGCTAAATATTGAACTTTTATGGTAAAAGGACTAGTGGCTGTATTTGATTTTATAAGTGGTTTATGAATTTCGTAATAATCATTTATTTAAGATTTAGAAGCAAAACGTTAAGTTGCAAATAAATTCTGAAAATATTTTTGATTTGCAATGTAAATTTGTTATCGTATACGAATAATTTATGCAAAAGGACAAGCTTGATCTTTAAACTATAGGATAGATATAACAGGTTTTTGTAAGAGATTTAATAAATTAGGTGGTGGAATAGGAAAGACAGTAACATAAAATCTTGAATAAAAGTCCATTGATTTGAGGCATATGGAACTAAAAGATGGTTATTAAAATAACTAAGAACATAAATGAGGAATAACAAGACAACTAAAACTTAGACGAGGATTTGGAGTGACTGCAGCTGGATTATTATGAAGCGGACCGCTAATTTTTATTACTGTATGTTATATCCGGTGAAGATTAAATTACAGGTAACTTTCGAGGACTATTCATGGACTAATACTCTATAAATATTCTTATTGTATAACTATTCAACAATTACATTATGTATATTTATACCCCTCCTATGACAAGCTTTATTTTGGCCTATAATTTATTATTGTACGATTTACGGTTCATAAGTTATGTTCAGTTTATTAACTACTGCCTCCCACATTCACAGCCACTTTTTGGGCTTATTTGTGTACAAATATTATTTCCTATTTTATGGTACGTTGCGGTCTGTGTGATTGATATATAAACCAAGTATGCCTGAAATAAACGATCTGCTCTGATTCGGAAGCTGGTATTGTGTTCTGGACTCAAGTGGAAGGGCTCGTAGGACATAGGACCAATAAGGACGCTAAACTGCCCACACCGGTTGAACGTCATTGGTTGGCCTAGTGTGAAGATTCGTATAAGTCGTACTCGGATTGGTAGATAAATCGTGTGATAGAAAAGTCAGACATCCAAGGTCATAACACTGTATCATATCAAATAGTTTAAGTCCTTCCAAGAGTATCCAGCAACTAGACAGTGACTTTATGAATTGATGGAATTTTTTAGTTTGGCTAGTAACGACTTTTTTAAACTAATCCTGCTTCAATTAATATTCTATGTCGGAGTAAGGAATATTGTTTATTATGAATGACACTTGGTTCAATAACCTTAATTTACACAAGTTGAACACCTCAGTAACTAAGTTTACTCTTTTGGTGCTTCTCCCTTGAGATCACTAGAACTATCGCCTAGCCATAGACGTCGAACGGATTAAAGATGACTTTGACTGTAAACCAACAAAAGTACACATGTCACAACCTAAATGACTTCATCTACTGGTGGCAGCACAAACTTTACTGATACACATTAAGATTTGATTAATACATTCATTTCTAAGACTTAAATCTTAGTTCTGTTGGGTTTGTTGTACCCGGTTTCTAGCTGCATGATGAATTGCAGTGAACTCTAACATCTTAAAGACCGTTTCAGCAAAGCTAGTTCTTTTGTAACTATTAAGAAAAGAGCTTTGTTCTCTTTAATAAACTGGCCAAGTTTTGCTATTTTATATTATCTCTGATTTATCACAGCCATTCTAAATGTAGTTCTCATTCAATAACATATTTGGGATGTGATTAACTGTACACTGACTGAACTGCTCTTCACAGTATACGGACCAAATTTCCAACATCTAGTTAGAAAATATTAATGTTCTTTGATGTTGCTTTTAGTGACTGGCTTTTTTAGGTGAATCTCTTCGGCTTCTCCCACTTTCCAACTATCATATGTGGAACTGCGTTTACAATCAGTCAGAGGATTGTTTTACGAATTCTCCCCAAAATGATACTTGTTTTTAGACTAAATACATTAGGATTGCATTAGGAAAACAGTCAACAAAAACAAATCATCTAACTCACTTCTTATCATGATCCGAGTTATCAGCGTTACTTTTGCAATGATCAGTTTCCGAAACAAAATTAGCATTTGGAAATTCATTCAAAACCAAACAGTTACTATCATACTCACCAAAATTACTACTTATTCGATTATGGTTAATTCGATGTTTTCTAGAAAATCTATCACTTCTCTTTGACGGTGAATGTTTTAGAAGTTTATCATTTGAATACGTTCCTTCCGTTTTATCACACCCTTCTTTTTTCCGATCGCTATGCTGCCAATATTTAGAGAAGGAATTAAAACCGAAGTTTTTCATATTCTTTATAAATTTTAGTCGATAATTACGTGGTCTGCTGGATTTTGAAATAGCTTGAGATCTTCTAGAAATATCACTATCACGAACAATCCTGTCATAAATGGGACTGGTACTGTTAATATTGTTCGTAACACGCGGTAGTAGAGAACGATTTGAATATGATCGACTGCAAACCAGGTGTTCCAGTACCTTTCGCTGTATTACTGGTGAAATATCATCAGACTTAATTAAATAAAAGAGAAACACAAAAAAACAGCATTACTATGCACTGCTGGAAATTTAGAAATATAAATGTTTTGCGACTGGGGTCAGTATTAAACCCCACATTCACATAATTGTAGTTGATTATTAAGTTGCACAATATGAGGTAATACATATTATCAAACAGAAATATTCCCCTAAATATCAAACATTTAAATCGAAATTACGAACTAATCAAAGACAACCAGTAGAGTCCTATAGTTGAACGTAACGGTCGTCCAGTGTTTACAAGTTCTGAATGGTTGTCTGACTTGGATTAGTTCATGATTTAAATGAAGTTGGATAATCTACACGCCTCTATACTGTCAAACGTTTTCATTATTTTACAGTTATGTGCATTTTTACTAACAAATTCTCTTTATTATATTTATGTCCTTACCTTTTTTCATCAGTTGAGTCTGTTTTCCTCTGATTTTGATAATTCCAGCTATTTCGATCAATGAATTTATGTCTGAAGTTGTCGCGCTTCCATCCCACGTGAAAGAAATTTATGCACTTTCTATACCTGTTTAATATAATGGGTTTTTTTCTGAATACTAGCCGAAACACTAGATACTTTCAAAGATACATGAATATTTTTATTGGGAGTGGTTTGAGAACAATTAAAACTAGACCTTAGAATGACTTATATTTGCAGTTACAAACAGATCTGTTCATCACTTACGAATGTATGTGGATACATATTTTGACAATATGCTAACAAATTGTGGTGAACAAGATCATGCCGAGTAGTGACTGAAGTTTTTGGAAATATCCACAAGATAAACATCCTGACAACCCTTCTAGAAAGGTGTGGTTTTCGATCATTATTTGGGAGTGTCATAAAATCCAGAAGAGTGAAAGGGTCTTTTTTTACCAAAATCATAGTAATTTTTAATCTGTCTTGTGTTATAAATCATTATTAGCTAGTTATCCCAGGTAATAAGATTTAAATAATCGTAGGTCAATTCTGAAATACGCAAACTGAATATTCTTCATTTATTTCTGTCAGTTTTGTGTTTAGTGAGTCACTAAATCTAAATCTCAATAACTCGACAGGTACGATTGAGTTCGAATACATTAGGATCATATTAAGAATTCGTACCGCTGAGCTGTCAAGTTTTAGGAGGAAACGTCCTTTCATCCGCTGATAGGAGTAAGTGGTTTTGCAAAACAAACTTCAAATGTGATGAACAAGGAAATATTTATCATATTTGAGGAGGTAAATTGAATATAACGACGGTAAATATGTATAAATTTGCAGAAATAAGGTAGTGAGTTATAGAGAAGAGATATGTAAACATATTTTATAAGCTCTGTATCATTTAGAAAACAATCATGAAAGTAACAATTAGAAATACTAAATCTTACTCCTGGTAAACGAAGCATGAAGATATCTGACGAACTAGGGAGATTACCCAACAACAGTCGATAAGATTCCTCAATTTTATCAACCAACGGAGAATAAGCGAAACCAATACAGTATGCAGACGACAGATGACGATTGTGGAACCCCAAGATTAGTTCACGTTCTCTATCTGACAGTGGTACGATATCCCGCCCATCCCAAACATCAGAACACAAGCTAGCAAGAATATCACCAGTACCTTGAGAGAGCAGTTGATAACCACTTTGGATATTTGGATCAGAGAAGACAGAGCTAAAGCAATAAGCCAAATGAATTCGGTCCTACAGTGAGTAAAAATCAAGTTCCGATAGTTAGCATTACACTATTTCGGAAATCCAACTGACTGAAATGGGTGTATCCAACCATATTCAACAGTAAAATATATTGGCCTTACATTTGTTGCACGAATTACTTAACAAAAATCATAACACGTAAAAATATGAAAGTAAAAGTGTACGTTTATTGGAATATGGTTTGATCATAAACTAGTTGAGTCATCATAACGCTATTTATGAAGTAATGTACGACGATGATGTGCTAAAAAACCAGTTGTTTTGATTTTTTAAGTTTCCTCAACCGAAATCTTATTTCAATGGTTGAGATCATAAGTCAACTGAAGCTAGACCATCATGGAAAACCTGGAAGCACTGGATGGCTGTTTCGTCCTATTGTGGGACTCCTCAGCAGCACACATCCACGATTCTACCTCACGAGATCCGAACCCAGGACTTATCAGTCTCACACGTAAGTGCTTAAGCGCTAGACTACTGAGCCGGCATCCATCGGTGTTGATGTCTAATTTCAACCAATTCACGAAATTTAGTGACACATCCACCATTGTCTTCAGTGAGTTATTATCTCACAACAGACGCGGTTGAACTCCACTGGTCACTGCTTCTCACTAGAACTCCAGGAAATACCTCGGCGGGGTCGTGGATGCGTACTGCTGAGGAATCCCACAATAGGATGAAACGGCCGTCAAGTGCTTCCAGGTTTTCCATGGTGGTCTAGCTTCAATTGACTAATGATCTCAAGTATTGAAATTACTATAATATCCACAAAAACCCTTCTGATGAAATCTTATTGATGAATTGAGTTAACACCACACAGCATAAGAACAGAAAAAACATCAAAGGAGTAGCGGAAGTAATACCAGCATTATTGGAAAACTGAAAGAGATAAAGAAGTTTGGACGAAAGATCATGTCAAATACTTAGAGAGGAGCAAAGAAAGGATTAATCTAAGTCACCAAGGCAAATTGTCCCATGGTTCCAACGACTGATTACAGTTAACTAACGCATAATTAGGCAACATTATTGAATATAGTAAATAACTTTTAGAATAATCAACACATTAGTACTACGGTTTGGTATAAAGCTTTGCTTGAAATTAAAAAGCTACTGTAAAGTCACAAACATCGAAAACGTAGGATGAGTGGAGTGGGTTTTATGCACAAGTAACAGTGACATACTGTCTCAAAAATTCAGTTAGTTAAACGACTACTTCTTAAAGGAGTATAGAAAACTAAACACTATGCAGTTGGGGGGTCTCTAAACTAGTTACGCTAGTAACCAACTTGAATCACTCAATTGTATCTATTAATTGTCATGATAAACTGAGTAGTCTGTTAAGTTAACGGTAATCATTCAGCTTTGCCGATAATCTTCATTACATTCCCTTTTTACTGTGTGATAGTTTAAATGGAAAAAACTATGCGCATGCTCTTATACGGACAGTAAATTAGCCTCAAAATGTACTTAGAGAAAAGAAGATGAGAAATGAGATAACATTTAACTTGCACTATGAAGCTAGCCGGTTATAAAGAAACAAGATAACACCACAAAAACAGTTAATGTAAACAAATAGAGTCAAACCTACATAATTTGTATTTTCTTTTGTCGGGAGGATTTCTTCGGAAGATAATTTACTTTTCACATCAGTAGCGTTAGAACTAGAAGTATATGCGGCTGAGCAAATAGAATAAGCACCCAAGCATCCATGAGTGCCAAAACCACTTAAGGCACCATCACGAAATCCTATCTGGCTGGCAAGACCACACAGACAGAAAGTAAGTGGCAGTGCAGTAATACATGACGAAGAATCGAAATATTTTTGAGTTGCATTTACTTTTTCAAAAAAGCCAATTCTCTGTTTCGCAATAGCAGAGTGACAATTGTTGAGAAGAATCGATAAACCGATTGGTTTAAGCGATGAAAGGAAACGATCCCAGCGCGGCCTTTCGAAATGCGATAAAAAGGGTCGATAAAAATCGGTTCGTAAGTCTAGAACTACCGGTGCAATACAACTGCTCAGTGGGAACACAGCACTTCGTTGAAAACCAGGTGTATCATTAGGATCACAGTTAGTGGGTAGCTGATTTTGGATGGGACTTTGAGTCTTGCAAAGTTCTCCTTGATTAAGTCCAACACACTACGAATTTGAATAGAAATCGAATATAACTGAGTTTTGAAATAAATGATTTATTCCATCAATATACAGAGTAATTTTGATTTGGGAATCCCTTTACACATTAAACCAAAAATACGTTTATTCATGGTGATAAAATGATTGCTTACGTCCAATAAATTTCCGCAACAATTATTTTCTAAAATAAATTCACACTGAGGTTTTATTTAAAATAGACATTTCATTTCTAAGAATATTAACCGTAATTTAAACAAGGTTTGATGAGCGAATCGTAAATCTAGGGGAACAGTTAAGTAAAAAACAAATTCACTTTTATCGCTTTCGGGCTGTCAGAAGTTGTTCAATTGATTTTAACACCTGGCTCAAACCACTTCCAAAACTTAATAATTCACTGACTTTTAGGAAGAGGTAAAATAATTCAAACCTGGAAACAATACAAAGCATTTTATATATTTGCAATGATGGAAACTGAGGCTGTGAGAAAGACCATGCACTTCAAATTAAAGCAAAATACCTATAAATAAGCACTTTAAAACAGCATTTTGAGTATTTTCCAATACATCTGAAAAATATATCTTGATTTCCACTGAATAGGATATTTGATACTAGTCTGCGAGAGTTAGATCTTTTACTCCATAAATCCACCAACTACCTACGAAAAAACGAAAATCGGATCGATTGCACAAATGATTGTTAATTAACATATCTGTTTACGAGTTTCTCTGGAGTTCAAAACGACTATTAAATTGGTGGAAAGACAGCAAGGCATTCAGCTGAATAGTTCTAGATTAGTAAAAACAAGTCTCCCAACAGAAAAATGAGACAAATTTTTTAGACGTTATATAATTAGTGAAAGTGTTTACTTTCTACTAGGTTTGAAAATCGCACTGTCATTTGAGGAAGTTCAATGACTGTAACGGGCCAAAATTTTGAATGTAATACATCTTATCCATTACATCGCTAGTGGTGAATTAAAAATGACGAATAATCTCATAGAATTTACCTGATAATGAGGATAATACGCTAACATTTCACCATATTACTATTATATTTCGCTAATTTTAGGTGGTTATTTAAACCCATCATCATAGATTTTTAGACACTGATAACAAATAATACCCGGGATTGGTAAACTAGTTCATGGAAGTAACAATCTAAGAGAATATATTAGGGATTCTTTTTCTCTACTGGAGGAATCTACATAGTACAACCAGTAAATCTATTCACAAAAAATGAATATTAAAAAGCAGTTACATAGACGACTGGTCAACAGATTCTTTATGCATGGACAAAAAATTAGGTTGCTGATACTTTAAATAAGAGTAATGCTTAAAGAGGACTAAGCAATTGATAAGAGTGACAACCTATCTAAACTAAGAAGCATGAACCATTGTGTTTGAGATGCTTCTTCGGGAAATACATAGTGCTGAGTGGTGAAGACGGACGACAGGTCAAATGAGCATATTAAAATATGATTTCAATTCATGAAGTCACTGGGTTTCGGTCTGAGCTATATCGGAAGAAGCAAGCTTAGTTGTTAGTATCTCCTTAAGATTGGAAACTAGCGACCGAAACACATAGATGAAGTCACTATACCATCACTTTTTGTCTGTTCATTATACCTTTTTCCTACATATCCTCTTTTGAACAGTTGAAAGCAGTGGCAAGCTAAAACAACATACGTCCACAACCCCGTATTGGACATGTGTAGAAATAACACAATTTCTGAAACAATTATAAAGTAGCTCCACACTAGAACGTAGACTTCCTGTGATTTCTGGTCATTTGAAGTGATTTTAATGGTTTGAAAGTCAAACGAGATAAATGGTTCCATAGTTAATCTTTGATTATCTTTCTGAACTATTATTGCTACAAGCTTCTGACAGAAGTTGCTTAAAAAGCAAAAGTTACTTGTTTTTTTGTGCGCAGAAAACCCGACGTGTTCAGTTGGCCTGATTTAGAATTTTGATGATCCAAACGTTCTTCCGCTTTTGAGTTTGATTTATAGACATTTTGAGACTTGTTTGTACCAAAACTCTCCTGATGGTGATGATTGTGATGGCGTCTGTGGAAGAAAAACATTTTCTCTGGAGTTGGTAACGACTGACTTATAACACCTTCTTGGTTGATACAACACACGGAACTTAGTGTTCCCAAAGTAAGTACAATATTTTCCATATCTACGTTCGTCTGAAAGTAAAACTATGATTACAACACGTTTAAATAAACCACCGTAAAATGATGCAAATAATGTATTGAGAAAACATTTCGTAGATAAATAGAATGCAATAGTAATAGTAGTTGTAAGCAACAAGACATGTAGTATAGAATTATCACGTAATTTACCTTTACATTTATCAAGTTACTTCCAATACACTTCATTTTTTCAGGTTCATTCGATGTAACAAAGTGGAAAGCCTCTCCTAGTAATCCTGTTACACCGTAAAGTTAGGAACGAACTATGAGTTATTATTGAAGTTAAAATGTTAATAGATATATGTAGTATGTATCTCGCTATGGATTAATCGATGACGACATAAACTGAAATCAGAAAACTCGAGTGCATTTGGTACGCAAACTGACTACTTAAACACAGTTTTGTGTAGAATTGGCTCCCTAGTTTCTTATCCAAATTAAAGAATGACTAATAAGGCTTATTCCACTAATTAAGACAATAGAGCAGTACAATTTACGTCAAAAATAAATTACCTTCACAGTTAAAAGATTCTACATTATTAAGCTTGTTCACTTTGCTCTATTTAAAATTGAGTTTACGCATTTCTCAGAAAACAGCAGTTTTTTGTCGTCATTAAGACTTAAAATAACCGATACTCCTTTGCAACCTCTAAACGTCATAGATCTTCAAAATATTACAGAGTTATTTAGTTTGGTGTAAGACACAATCCCATTTTGATAGGTTGGATAATTTGTGTACACAGGTAGTTAAATAGTTCAAAAACAGTTACTGTACCGTTGATACATCCATTCATCCCGTACCAATATTTACGTTTAGAACATGATGCTAATTCGAACTTTGAATGGGTTCTCAACTGTTTTTCTTTTATTTTTATCCCTACTGTAGGTCTTTATCACCATACTTACCATGCTGGTTTGACGAGTTGAACTGATAAATAATTCATGGATTCTGATCAAAAGCGATAGTGACTAATGTAGTGGGTTGTGAGGAAAGTCAGAGCGATCAAAACAAAACGTAATATCAACTCATGAGATTATTAGCTGCTAGACTGAGTTGTATTTGTATGTGTAGACTACCTAATTTAGAGTCGGCTTGATTATTGTAATCAATCGGTGGGGACTTGATGTGATATGGCTTAAAATTGCTCACAATGATGCAGACCCATTTACTTTTTATTTTCTCTGGGATTCTGACGCTAAAAATCGTCTTATGCGACTATCTTTAATTTCCTCTACTACAACTGGAGATAATACCATTTATAATATTCCAGCAACTTTTGATAATATATACTCGTTGTGAATATACATAACAACTTGAACAAACGTACATATCGCAATTTCTACGTTACACATAAATGACTGAATAATTTCTGACTGTTATATATACCAAATATTGTTATCTAAGAACTATAAAATAAATGCTACACTCAAGTATAACTCTTGAACAACATCACTGACAGCCGCAGAATTCTCTGTTGATTCAACACAATCTTGTGTAAATCGTTAAAATACCGTATAACCTTTGAATTTAGGTCTCGTCAGTCATTAGTTAACAGAAAAGTATACTAGAGGGCACCTTAGGTTCATCAGCTATAAATCACTGAAAAGAAATGATAAAAGAAAACAAAAACTGATCTTTTAGAGAGCCAACTTCTACTCTGCGGATCAAACGAAAAAAAACGATCATTTACAGACCAGAGGGTAAACTCTTGGTAAATACATAAACAAGCTTAATCTTACTTACCATAAAGCCAAAGTAGCGAAGATTGGAGATAAGCGAGTGAAAAGTTAACGTGTTTGATTTGGAAGCCTTAGACATGTTGGGTTGGAAAAATACATTGGGAGATTTGAAGTCATTGCCATCAATAAGTTTAAAATGATCCTGAGAATTAGAAAGAACATTCTGGAAGTGGAATGTGACAACAGCAGTGGCAATCATCCATATGAAATACAATGAGAAGCTCGAAGAAGCAATAACAATACCAAGAGTGTGGGCAAACCAGATTAGCAAGCGATAAAACTGATGACTAAGATCACCAATAGGTAATGCGCAAATAAATATTGAAGTTAGAAAAATGAAAGTTATAGAACACTTGATAATTAAAGAAACCCAAACTGCAGTATTCACAACTTTATAAGCAAGCGGTTGAAACGTATAACCATTTTCAACTCTTGATCTAGAAGCGATATCAAGGTAAGAAGCCAAAGGAGAATGGATGACAACGGCTACCACAGACTCATCTGATCTTTGAATGGATGTAAACGAGGTGGATATCAGGTTACAACTGAGTTTCTGAGGGACATAAACATCACCTGGAAAGTAAATGTGATTCTAGTTCAGAGGTCGAAAATTAAAAATGTAAATACCCTTACTTCATTTATTTGTTTGCAGAAAGCGAAGATTGTCTGACCTGGTTTAATAATAATAACATCACCTGGAACAAGTAAAACAGCAGGCAAGACCACGATTTTTCCATCTCGGATAGTAAGGTGGGTATCCAAACCAACCATCTCATTTAAAAGTCCATTTAGACATGGTGAATATGAAAGCATATTCGGCTTCAAATTTCCTACAAACAATTAGAAACAACATACTTACTAAGACAAGTGACGGAAGATCTTAAGAATGTCTTAAACTTTGAACAAGATGAAATCATCCTTTTATAACGCGTTAAGAACGTTAAGAACAAAAGGCTACTTGACAAGAGGACAAAGAGCAAATCCCCAGCAATCGATATCCAGGAGTAGCTAGAAATATTAGACCAGTCAAACAAACTAGTTTATAGGACATAAAGTACCTGGAGGAATATCGGTATGAAGCAACAGAACATGATATAAGAATAAGTGACATTATGCTCAACATAAGAGACAATATATCCGAACGAGACCAACGCAGCAATACAATACCACCTATTGGTCTTTCACTTAACGTTTCCAACATTTCGCAAAATAGTTCCAAAGCCACTGGAGTTTCTAGACCCTGACTCATTGTAAGACTGTAAGCATAATCTCCTCGACAAACAAGGCATAACAATAATCTTCCCAAATCAACCTTGAGAGATTAAATCTTGCTCAGACACACAAACAGTTTAAAAACTGATTCCGTTCAATGATGGCGTGCTACAGTAAACAGGTACTCCAATGCTAAGAAAATTGAACTCCGAGGATTCCATAATTTTCACAGTGGTAAATGAGTAATCGCCCACTGTTATACAATTCAAAGATTAATCACACGAGTTTTTCCATAGTTTTATAAAGGAAAAGCCACATCTAATACTTAATACACTTTGTCAGTATTCATTATGTGTACATGACTCCTAAAATGAAACTGATATGTACCTGAATGTGGAATTCCCACGCAACCACCAATAATAATATATATTACTTGTTACCATGTTCAATTAATGTATAAATTGGTCATATTTGTATCAATAAAAAATTCAGATGGACAATCGAAGACGTGAAAACAAACAGAGGTACTAACGTAGCTTCAGATCACCAACTGGTTGTGTTCAAGATGTAACTGAAGCTAGAGAAACACTGAACAGCTGGGGAAACTGCAGTACAAAGGTTCTATACATCACTCCTTCGAGATACTGACAAACCCAAACAATTCAAGATAACTTTCAGCAACAGGTTCCAAGCTTTACAATATCTACTGGAAGAAAAGGAGACTACCATGGAAGAAAAATGGAAAGGGATCAAAAAATCACACACTTTGACGTATCAGGAGGTGTTCGGCCGGAATAAGCTTCATCATAATGAATAGATCTCTATGGAAACCCCGGACAAAATTCAATAAAGGAATGACAAGAAGACAGCGATTAGGAACAGCCGAACAAGAACAGAGGAAGTTGACGCACAGGCTGGATACACAGAAGCAAACAAGCAAGTGAAGAAGAGTATTAGGGATGACAAGTAGAAATATGTGGTAGACCCAACAAGGACAGTGGATAAAGCTGCAAGAGAAGGAAATATCAGACAACTATATGGCACGACGAAGAAACTGGTAGGGAAACACAATAAACCAGAGAGACAGGTCAGTGACAAAGAAGGCAAGTCAATCACTGAAATTTCAAGAACTGGAGAACAGATGCGTAGAATACTTTGGGGAACTCTTGAATAGGTCAGCTCCATTGAATCCGCTAGGCATCAAAGCAACACCTACAGACCTTCCTATAGATGTCACTTCACCAACAATCGAAGAAATCAGGATGACCACCAGGCAAACCAAGTATGGAAAAGCATCAAGACCTGACAATTCACCAGCCGAAGCACTAAGGTCAGACATAGAAGTAACTGCAAACATTCTCCACATTCTATCAAGGAAAATTTGGGGGGAATTTCAAGTGCTGACGGACTGGAAATAAGGATGTCTCATCCAGATACCAAAGAAAGGAGATCTGAGCAAGTGTGAAAACTAAAAAGATACTACACTACTGTCGATACCGGTGCAAGCTTCCGACATAGTGTTGCTGAACCGGGTGAAAGATCCAGTGGACGTCGAGCTTCGAGGTCGACAGGTCGGAATCCGTAATGATCGGTCGTGCACAGACCAGATCGCGACACTACAGATCATCGCTGAACAATCAATTGGATGGAATTCATCACTATACGTCAACATCATTGGCTATGGGAAGGCGTTTGACAGTGTGGATAGGAAGAACTTATGATAGTTTTCTTTGACACTATGATGTGCATAGGAAGTGGTGCAGCGGCAGTTTCTGCATCAGTAGGCCTTAACGTGCACAAAGGATTAAGTCATATCCTGATAGACTTTCAGGTACATGGACAACATCATCGATGGGCGTTAAGGATTGGCAAAGCAAGAGCCGCATTCCCACAACTGAAGAACGTATGGAACTGCAAACGGCTGTCGGTCGACATCAGAGTGAGAATCATCAATACAAACGTCATGACAGTTATATTATACGGAGCTGAGACTTGTAGAACTACCACAACCAGCATCAAAAACGTACAAGTATTTATAAACAATTATCTACGCAAGGTACTAAGTGCGGGTATCATCTTCAACAGTCTACCTTGGGAACAAACCAGCTTCCAGGTGAAGTGGAAATTAAGAAAATACGTTGAAAGTGGATAAGATGTATATTTAGTAAATCATCCAACTGCATCACGAGGCGAGCCATAACTTGGAATCCTGAAGGGGACCGAAGAAGTGGGAGGCTGAAGAATACTGAATCAGTAATTAGAAGCAAACACAATAAGGATGAATAGCAAATGGAGAAAATCGGAAGGGATTGCCCAAGACATATTTGGATGGGGATTGGTGATGGGCAGCCTATGATCCTCCACTCGAGGATTAACAGGTCTAAGTAATAAGTAAGTAAAATTTACGTTCAATGTCATGGGAACCCAAAAAGCGGGTAAGCATGTATGTCTGCATATGCACAAGATATTCATACTCCGTTGAATGTCAGACTACTCCAGACAGTTAAAGGACTATCGGTGCCCTGTATGCCTTATTAAGTGACAGCAGAGTTTTCAAAAGCTTCGAACCTTTTGATGCAATCCGTGACCTTCACCATAAAAGGAAAATCGGAAAATTACCTGAAGTTCTAAGCTTCCGTCTTCTTATCCGTTTTTGGTATATCCACAACTACATAGCTCTTCTTGTCAAGTAGTTTGTTCCTAACAATTAAACGCTTTAAGAAAGTACCAAGAATCAGCCAAAGGTGATATAAGGATTTCAGTTTGACTTTGGATCAGATTCATTATAATCCTGAAGATGTTTTGTGGTATTCAATGCCTCATAATCTTTATATTTAAAAGTTGCTTAAAATTCACGACACTTTTCTCATCAATGAATAAGTTGTAATAGTTGTTAAGAGGAACTAGTATATTTGGCTATTCTTAACTGCATCGGAATTCTGCATCCAGGTACATACCAGTCTCATCTTAAGAATCATGTACGTTTAATGAATACTGGTTTAATATTGTCATATCGTAACTAGGATTAAATTATGTGTAACTTCTGGGAATGATTTATGAACTGCTATAATGTGTTATATCCCAGTGAGAATTATGAATGGTGACTTTTGAGAACTATGTATGGACAAATATTATATGTATATTCTTAATGTATAACTATTCAATAGCTAGATTGTGTTTATTTGTACTCCTCTTATTGCAAGCATTATTTTGACCCATAAATTATTATTATACTATTTATCGTTCTTGAGTTACTCCCAGATTATTAATTACAGTCTCCCACGTTCATAGCCAATTTTGGCTAGATCTTGTACAAATGTTATTTTATATTATTTTGTACGACGCGTTCTGTTTTGTTCGTATATAAACCCAGTATGTTTCAAATACATAGCTCATGTCACAGAGGCTGAGATTAGTGTTCTGAACTTACCAGACAGGGCTAGACACGAAGAAGGGCCGATAAAAACTGTAGGCTATTCATACAAGTTTTATGCATTATTTGTTCAGTCGATAATTCACCGTTCTCTAGTTGGTAGTACCACTACGTCGTATATTAACAGGGCACATAGCCACACGTTATAACAATATGTATACTCTTATTATATAGCTGTTAGGTGCCTAGATTGAATATATTTATATTATTTTTATTATAAGCTTTTATTTGACTAATCGACTACTACTACATGATTTACTGTTCCTAAGTTATTCCCAATTTATTAGTTTCAGTCTCACAATGACAGCCACGTTTTGGTCTAATCTTGTATAATTTTTATTTTTTATTTTATGGTATGATTTGATCTGGTTTGCTTATATATAAACCAAGTATGTCTGAAATATATGATTCAAGATTTTAGCTCCAAGGAGAGTCTGTAAGAATGTACCTCGACTAGGCTACTTAGTTTTCCTTGGCTCTGAAGTAGATGATAAGTTTTGCCTTGTCTATTCTAGGACAAAAATGCTTAGTAAAAAGAATTTCACAACTCACGAGCTCAGATTAAGAATAATTCAAGCACATTTTTATTCTGTCACTCTAGTGTTCAATTTCATGAAGAGTGGTTTGTAAAGGTAATGAACCACTTAATAAAAAATAATTAGTAACCATCCATAAATATATACTATTAGTAACTAACTCAACATGTAACCTTGATGGTATTTACGCAGTTTATATAAGAAAGCATTTCCTTATATCCAGAGGCACATTTGAAGCTTGTACAAAGCTTTTAATCGCACATACTATTCCTGAGAATACGATATAAATAAACGAGTTCGAAAATTGAGGACAGCAAATACGTCCGAAACACATTGTTATTATTAATATTCAATACAAGTCTTTAGTCGGCCAAATATTTTCAGCTTTCCTGTAACGAATCGCGCGAAATCTAAACGTCGTAACATTTTTTCAAGTGGTATACATATTTCTTGACTTATTCATTTGTAGGGTATATTATACTGAGACTATCATACTACCTCGTATTTCTGGTACATTTTTACACCTGAAAAAGTAAGTTACAAGGACACTCATCAATTTATATATACTTATCAAAGACCTATCCTACATTTTTGATATAATTCCGTATCGGCTGTCATTGACACGATTTAATCTGATAATGCCAAACATTCATCGCCCGGACTTTACGCGTCTTATCCGAAAATATCACTGTCACTGTTTGAACGCACGTGTGACAACCCCTCTGCCTCCTCACGCAATATATTAACGGTACATCTGTTTAACATAAAAGGTACAGTACCTTTGTACACCAAAATGTCAACACAGTGTAACCGTCAGTAGTATTTGCTGAGGCCGAAATCCAAAATTTCATAGGTCAAAGAGTCTAATATATTTCACAAACATCAAAATACTGATCACTATAGTACCGAAACCCTTCACTTACAAAATTCTCTTGCCCTAACTAGCAGTAAACTCAATCAGTTAGCACCCCTCACACGTATATGGGCCCTTAATGACAAAATTCTTGGGAAGTTCAATGAAGCTGAGCTTCTCTTAGGTTTTGTAGCTGGTGAAGTGTCTTCACCCAGTGCAATCGTGTAAAATCTCCCAGACCACCACCCACAAATTTGAAGGATATTTGCCTTAAACCATGAGGCATGCTAAACGTAAACTGCCAAGTCATCCGCCCAAGAAAAGG